GCAATTATATGTTTATTTTAGGTCTATACAGTGTTTCAGTAAGTCATTGTTTCAACTAAATACATGCAGGAGGTACAAAGTGGAAGGGCTGCTGCCAATAACCAATTAAGAAGCAAAGGGTCCCCGACATCTTTCGGCTCATAGTGCGGGTCACGCAATAACAAAAGGCCCTCTTGTACCAGAATGAAAGCAAAGGAGGACAGATTGATTAAGTGGACATGGCGTGCATGTGGCGCTCGTGTGTTTATGTGTACATTGTTTGCATGCATGCGCACTGCCGCTCCTTCAGCATAAGGCAAGTCGTCACATTCTCCCTCCATTTGGGGGGCAATTGAGTGAATGGGCCTGTAAAACCAACAGCCCAAAGGACAAAGGAGCTCAGGGGCATTAAGTCATGGGTGAGTGGGCCCCTTTAGGGCCAGCAGCTGACCCTGTGGAGAGGCCTCTTGTTCTGGTGGAGGGGGCTCGTGTCCCTGGACCCCAGGCCAAGTTGACAGCATCCCAACGTATACATACACACATGACAGAGAGGTCATCTTCAAACCACTCCATGAGTTGTCACACCCAGCCTTCACCTGCTTAATGTCCACGCTGCATGTGAGGAAAAATTAAGAGTGCATGATTAAAGGTGGAATATTTCAATTTCCACTTTCACCATTTAAAAAGACAAAGAAAAAGCTTTCAGTGGCGTTAGTTTTTGGCAAGACGTCAGAGTGTCGCCATGCCCGCTGTGAGCGTGTCAGAAAAACTAAGCGATCATCAGAAATCTTTATTATGCAGAAAACAGCATGTAACGTATACTAATTTGCACAAAGGCATTTTGGCAGTTGATGGCAAGTGAAAATGCAAACACAAGAAAGTCAGAATACCTTTAAAATTATCCAACAAATGCATTTATTTAGCCAAATTAAGTACATGGTTACAAAGACAGTTGGCAGGATTTCTATGGTACCTCGATTATGGTTTCAACTGAAAATGCTATATAGTATAACTCAAGTGTTACATGTGTGATTCTCCTGTAAATGAAAGCAAAGTCCAGCATCTTGTGTACTGCTCATGCATAACTACAATAGTATATGACAGCTGCTACTATCCTGTACTTATATGTACTTAATTCCCTTGCAACCTATGATGTTACAATGTCATTAACACACAAACAGATTATCTTGGTTTTAACAAATGGAATGTACAAACCAACACACAGAACATACGACACAAATATATACAGATTAGACAGATCTCAGCCACCCGATCCAAATATACAGTAAACATCTTACAAAGTTGTTTAGTCTGTTTTTAGCGTTGTGTACCATATTCTTCTGATCTTTCCACCTGATTTCCCTGACAAGATTCCCTTCTTATTCTCACTCAAATACTTAATGCAGGATAATCCAGATTATAGCCATTACTGGATCCACTAAAGCAGATGATACAAGAAAAAAAATACATGCAGCTATAGTGTTACTTCACCAGATTATGGAACTTTTTTATGGAGCGGTTTGAGAGTGCATTTGTTCTTGTTCAGAAGGTGAACTGAGTGAGCAGAGAAACATGTGACATCTCACTCAAGGGTAGTTCAGCAGGATACAAGGAGACAATGGCTGCAGCAGAGATCACATCTGGATCTTGTACAGATGTTAATAAAAACAGAATGCAATGATTTGCAAACATTTTAAGCCCTATATTTAGTTTAAAATGTCACAAAGATAACAAGACATAAAAATTTAAATAGAAAGATTTGCGCTTATTTTGAACTTGATGCCAACAAGGTGTTTCAAACCAGCTTAAATACTAATACTACATTAGAAAGGTTCATTGTAGTGACTATAGTGACCAAGGCAAATTAGGGAGGCATCCTTCACTTAGTGAGACTGTGTGGGCTAATAGTTCAGTAATAAATGTGATGTCTCCAGAGGACATCAGTGAAGCTGACACTGAAACTAAAATGAAACATCTGACAACCATTTTCAGTGAACGGCTTCTTGCAGTTGCCCACAGTGTATGTAATAAAAAATGGCATTCAAAGTAAGAATAGAAAAAAAATTAATCTAACAATATCCAGAAATACAGCTGCCTGGGCCAAGCTCATTTAAAACGGACTTGGATGAAGGGAAAAACTGTCCTGTGGTCTGACCAATCACAATCTGTAATTCATCTCTGACATCGTGGACAATGTGTTGTCCGGGCTAAAAAAGGGAGACGGATCAATCAACTTGTTATGAGTGTCCAGCTCAAAAAGCCAGATGATATTCGGTTGCATTGTGCACACTGCACGGCTAATATGCGCTTTAATGCTCGGTGATATTGCTCCAAAGAAAGAGGTGAAGAAAGCAGGTGCTAAACTGTCCTGCCCAGCGTTCGGACATGTCATAAAGAAATTAAAAATATGACAAAGAGGACTAGGAGCTGGTGACCACTAAAATCTAAAAATGGGAAAACATTTTGCTTTCAGACTAGTGCACCTGCCTTCCTCATAGTGTTAAAAAAGCAGTAGTCAGTGGTAAACAAGCCCTTGTTTTCACCTTATTTGAAACATATTACTGGCATCAGTATCAAAACATAACATCCAATAACATCTTTGCACTATTTCCAATTAAATATAGGGTTTTAGCAACATATTGCATTCTGCACAGCAGCCCAGCATTTTAGGAGACAGAATTGTAATAACATATGTGTTGACCAATATGTATTTTGTGTTTTAGCTCAAAGCCATCTGTCTAAAAATACAAGGTTTTTACGTAGTGCATTTTAAATACACCTTTTGCAGCAAAACAGGAGAAAAGAACATGTGTAAATAAAGCAGCATGATCTTAACATCAGCATTCAAACATGAATGAGCAAACATGAGCAAACATAAGGAAACACCCATCTAACACATACACACACGAAAAAAGGTAAGAACTGGAGCTACATTATGAGAATGAACATTTACATTTAAACAAAGAGGAAAAAAAGTGCAATTAGTCTATGATTAGAGGTCAGAAATGGAGTCCCGCTACCTACATACATCCTATCTATATTTTACAAAATCACACGTACAACTATGCAAAGGTTATTTGCTAGCTCTCGCCTAATCAGGAGAAGAAATTAACATTAAATCAGTTGCAGTGCTTGTTCTTCTAACTTGGAGAAATAAAAAACTGAATGGTTGCCCAATCCTAATTTTGAAAGAAAAAAAGACAATATAATTTCTCAATAATTTCTCTTAAATGTTTTCTTTTAGAAATAAATAAATTAGTAGACATTAAATAAATAAAACCTACAGCCCTCACATAAAACCTAAATCCTTCTCCAACAAAATGCTTGTTGCTGAGCACTAATGATACGAACGTCTGCCCAAAACAATGGCGGCCATTCATTCCCTAATAGAGAACTGCTTTAGAGCAAATGAGAGTTTTTAGGCTGTTTTGGCAGCAAGATTAAACTTCTTTGAAACCCACGGTGTCCGATTTATATTAATATCTAAGCCTTAGAGCTGTCAGATAATAAATAAAACAAACAAAAATAAACATTAAGGTACCCTTCCATTTTTGAGGTTCTTTCACATGTACATTGCAATGAAATACATTCAACCGATGTCTCCACCGACTCTATGGCCTTGGAAAGGAAACGCTGTGTTATTAAAAGAAATAAAATAATAATAAAAAAAATACCATCACAAGTGCTATCCAGTTTGCCCTCGAAAATACTGCTCCTTTCTCAGCAGCAAAGTCAACTCAATAGTGCAATACTGACAGCTTCCTATTTCCATCCTAAAAACTTCACATGGAGTCCGATTGGCATTCCTCCTTAACATAACACTGCTGTCACAAAAAACATGTAAGTGCATTTTTTTTTCTCATTTAAAAATCAACAGTAACATTACACACTCACCAGCCACTTTGTTAGGTACACCTTCCTAATATGGGATTAGACCCTCTTTTGGCTTCAGAACTGTCTTAATTCTTCATGGCGCAGATTCAACGAGGTGCTGGAAACTTTCCTGAGAGATTTTGATCCTTATTGACATGATAGCATCACATAGTTGCTGCAGATTTTCAGCTACATCCCAAAGGTGACTGGATCTGATGGGGTCTGTTGTCTGTGGATCCCATTTGAGTACAGGAAGGCAGGATGGATGCATGATTTCATGTCGTTTACTCCAAATTCTGACCCTACCATCTGAATATTGAGACTCGTCAGACCAGGCAAGATTTTTCCAATCTTTTTTGTACAGTTTCAGGGAGCCTGTGTGAATTAAAGCCTCAGTTTCCTGTTATTAGCTGACAGGAGTGGCATCTGGTATGGTCTTCTGCTGCTGTAGCCCCTCAGCTACATCAGAGGTGCTCTTCTGCATATTTTGGTTATTTGAGTTACTTTTGCCTTCAGTCTGGCCATTTTTACCCATTTTGAATTTTGTATCTGTAAAACCTAGAGAAGGTAGTGATGGAAAATCCCAGCAGATCAGCAATTTCTGAGCACCAACAACCATGCTGTGTTCAGTCACTTAAATCACCTTTCTTCCTCACTCTCACGCTCGGTGTAAACTTCACATCATATGATCATCTTGACCATATGATATGCCTTGCGTTAATGAGCGGTCGAGCAGATATACCCAATAAAGTGGCCAGTGAATGAAGTCTGTACTGCGTCGGTTTACAACCCATGGCGTGATTTCATTGTACACGGGTGTCGGTAAAAAGCTACAAATGCTGCACATACGTGTTTTTTTTATCTGCTAACAGCAGTGGGGCAGTTTAGTGAAAACATGCAGGAGGAGATAAACAATGAGTAGCGCTACATCTTATAATGTCTTTCATGTCTTTAAACAATATATTAATAATATACAACTCAGAAGCAGCCGCTGCTGGTGATACACACTATTTCTGCAGCCTACTCTATGTGCAGGTTGATTAAAAGAAAAAGCCTTTTTGTATGTGTACAAAACTGCTCATGACTGCTGGCAAACAGAGAACACTTTGGGCAGTTACCTCAAAATGCGTTGAGAACAAAACCTCTGTATGGACGTCACTGGCAGTGCACTTCTGCTTCAGAAGAAAAATAAAACAATTTGTCTTCACTGGATTGTCTCTTACAAGATTCAGTGGAGGTTTTAGTTGTCGGACAGATGTAGTGCTGCCTGCGTAGTCGAGGGGACGGCTTTAAAGCACAAGCGCCCTTGAGACAGAGGTGGACGGTGGGTAGGGATTCAGGTACTGACGAGCCTGTTCTGTCATGATCAGTTGGTCCTGCGTCTTTCCATAAACCACTGCTTCCCACTCACTCACCTGCACAGAAGGTGATCAGTGGTTACTGTGATTGTCTGTTTCTACCCTTTTCACAGCATTAACTACACATTGACATTAATGACAGTTGTTTTGTTTCGTCATACCTGTGCAGTGTTGTGTTTTGTTGCTTTGTTAGAAGTCGGAAGCTTCTTCGTCCGAGGGCTAGTAAAGTGTTGAGTATGAACGGCGACTCCTAATGAGAGCTCATCTTTCCCGGAAGTCACAGAATGGCCACACTCGTCTCTCTCGGAGATCGGAGAAACCAATGAAGAGCTTGTCAGTAGACCTTCATCTGACACCTGCAACATGGCATTCTTTGAATGGTGCGGGTTTTAAGAAAGCAGTAGATTAAGAGTAATAGTAATTACATGGTATTTATAAAAATACTTTTACTTGGAAAGGGCTCCAGGACCTGAAGCTGATTTGAAGTGTGGTCAGAGAGGCTTACCTGTGCATCGTCGAGCTGGTCTTGGAAAAGTTCAGTATTAATGCTTTCTTTGCCCCAAGGGTCCAGGACAAGAGACTTGCGCACTTTTCTAGCTGGGCCATCCATCTAATTTTGAAGCATCAAAATGAAGTAAAATTATTTCTTAGTTTTTTGATGAGGTGTTGAGGTCATGAAGGTTGTATTTCGTGACTTACGTTATGTTTCCACACTCTGTAATCTGGCTGTAAGTCTGCTCTGTTGAAGATGTCTGTTCCGGTCTCTTGCTTTAGAACTTCTCGAATGTCTTCTTCGAGAAAGGCCAAAGGCTGTGGCTGCAAATCAAAAATGGATGAGTATAACCACAAAAAAGGCAGCAATATGTTCACCTGCTTGCACCAGAATTTGGCAAATTTACCTCTCTCTTTAGTGGCCCGTGCATTTTCTCCTGGGCAGCCAAAGCATTTTTGAAAGGAGTGGGTGTCCTCGGAGTTGGAGTCATGACTGTTTTGCAGAATTTAGGAGTCCTGGAACTACATATTTGTAATTGTGATTACACTAGTTTTCTGCAAGCAAAAAGATCTTCTGATATACTGCTTACAGCCGATTCATTTACCCATCATTCTCTTTCTGGTGTTTAGGTGTGGTATCTTTTTGAAGGGGTGTGTTGAGCAGACACCTCTGACCGCACACAGGAGTTGAGGTGAGGGCAGGGTTTTCCAGATTGAGATGCTCTGGCACTGATATGTTGCAGAACTGAGGAGAATGAAGACATGGCATATTAGTCAAATCACTGCATCAGCTGTAATGGGAAGATGTTCTCTGAAGTAAATTATTAAGATAATTACTCGTGACGGGGTAAATGGCAGTGTCTTTATAGGTGTTTTCTTGGGAGAATTTGAAATATTTTCCAAGAAGGAAGAGCAAGTCTTGTCACACAAAGGAGATGGTTCCCCCCTCTCTCTTCTCCTCTTCCTCCCAGTGGAAGCCTGGGTGGGTTTGGATGAGTTAATGGGAGTCAGGGATGTAAGATCTCCCACACCAAATGGAGCACAGTTCCTGTCTTGGCCTAAGTCGGTAGTGGCAGCGTTGACTGGGTAATTCACTGAATTGTACATGGTGCTCTCTTGCAAGATAGTGCTATAGGCTGCCTGGTTGTGCCTGGACGGCGTCGCCGTCTCTGACAAATCAAAACTGGCCACTTCGTTCCATGCAACAGGATCCTGCAGAACAAAACACATCTACAGTAGATCTTTAATACATTCACAATATTTGGCCAACAAATTTACACAGAGTTATGTTTGTTCTGTGTTCGTCTCCATTTGTTACTCACTGAATCAATAAGCTCCATGGTCTCTGCAAATTCTGGTATGGTCTGCAGGGTGGACAGCACTGTGCTGGCCTCTACAGCCAGGAATTTGCTGGGCGAGACAGGAAGCGGTGCTGGAGCTCCCTGCGGGATCTCAGGGCCCTTCCAGGGTCTTCTCTCTGCTTGTTCTTCCAGGCTACTGCTACTCGTGGTTAACGTGTCATCTGACACACTGTCTGGCCATGCTGGGTACTGCTCCAAACTCTGAGATAGAGGGCAGCAGGGGACGGGTGGGGGTTAAAGACGCTGCTGTTAGATCTTTGGCTCGTGCAGCAGGATGGTGTCTGATCTGATGAGTTTGGCAGATGTGGTGTAAAATTATTGCTAATTTGCATGAGTTTGGAAATTATGTGTAGGAAATGGTGGGAAAAAATTGTACAGTATAAAGTCGCTCACTGGAAAGAATAAATGTGAATGAAGTATGAAAACAGTCAGTGCAGATAGAATAGAGACTGAGAATGCTTTAGTCAGAACCAAACTGCGGGCTAAGTGTGGGTATGGTAGGATGGCAGGGAGTGAGGGCTGGAGGGGATGAGGGGGCGGGATCAAGTTTAAAACTAAAATAATGGGCGAGGTGAGGGGTGGGAGCTAGGGGGACTACCAAGCACAGCTTCAGGCCAGTCTGAGTAAGTGGCGAGAAGGGGAAAGTAGTTACTATTGCAACACTACAGCAAACAGGCTACAGACACGCATACATGCCCTCATTCTTGTTTTAGAATATATACACTGCAAAAAGTTCATTAATGAAGGCCAGTTAGAATCAAATGCCAGGATTTTGGACTTAAATAAACTTTTCGATATCAATATATTGTTTTTTCAGATTATGTAACTCGCTGTTTATTTCACTTTGACGCGAAGACATATTTAATATAAATATGAGCCTTTTTACAGTGTATGTACTGTAAGCTATTAACACACGCAGGCTATGCTGACTAAGAATGCTAACACACATTCAGTGTGTGTTCTTACACATGAACCTCTGCACTGCACTTGTTGGTGGACTTCACTCTCTGCTGACATAAGCAGCAGTTCAAGCTCCTTAATTCTTTGCTCTCTGTCAGGATCATCCAGGCAGGATGGCTGGAATAAACAAACATCACGGAGGAAGAGGAGGCGAAAGGAAAAGAGGAAAGAGTTACGAGAGTTAAGAAAATCAGGAAAACAAGACATAAACATAAAAACACTGCAACAACAGCACTGACATCGCACACCCTTTCAGCTGTATTTTGTGTTAGGAGAAAAAACAGGACGTTCAAGTTTTTGATTTGAGCTCCAGAGTTAGCAATCACAAGTACAACTACAGAAAGACCAGAAAATAAAGAAGTCAGACGTTTTCCCCACTAGCATGCAAAGAAACCTTATAAAAGACTCACTGATATGAAGCTTGAATTTTCAGGAAGACTGTCCATCATGTGCCCACCATGAGGCTCAAATGGAAAACCACCCGTCTGCAAACAGAGCATTGCACTTAGCTCAAATAGCGCCAAATCACAACAGCAGTCACCTCATTGTGCTTTATATTGTAAGGTAAAGATCATAATAATACAGAGAAAACACAAACAATAACATGTCTCTTTATGAGCAAGCACTTGGCAACAGTGGGAAGGAAAAGCTCCTTTTTAACAGGAAGAACATCTGGCAGATCCAGACTCAGGGAGGGGCGGCCATCTGCCGTGACAGGTTGAGGGTGAGGGGAGGAAACAGGACAAAAGACACACTGTTGAAGTGCAGTGGTGTATAAACACATAAAGGGGAAGGTGAGTGAAGAAGAAACAGTGCATCATAGGAAGCCTGCAGCAGCCTAAGTCTTTTTCAGCATAACTAAAGGAGGATTCAGGGTCACCTGATCCAGACCTAACGATATGCTTTATCAAAAAGGAAAGTTTTAAGCCTGATTTTAAAAGTAGAGATGTCTGCCGAATCCAAACTGGGAGCTGGTTCCACAGGAAAGAGGCCTGAAAGCTGAAGGCTCTGCCTCTCATTCTACTTTTAAATATCACAAGCCCACAGTCTGAGAATGAAGAGATCGATTGGGGTGATACGGTACTATGAGTTTTTTACAGTTAAATGGGCCCTGATTATAAATGTTGTATTTGAGGTGAAGCATGTTTTAAGTAAGATGACAAATGAAACAAAGACTGAGGATGGACCTGGTTTGATGCTGTCATAACCACAGGGCTGCGGTCACAGTGCTGGGGCTCTGTTGGAGTTGCAGGACACTGCCTGTTGTGGCGTCTCTTCCCATTAGCAGAGGAAGTCTTGCAGCCATCTTGCAGGTACCCCTCATGCTCCACTTTTCTCTTCATGGTGGAATTCCAGTGGTTCTTGATGGAGTTGTCCGTTCTGTTAGGGGATAGCATTGCTAGTGTGACTCACTTACATTACTTAGACAGGAAGCACAAACAGACAGTGTGTGACGCACTACACTACCGTCCAGGAAGAAGCTTAGAGATCTCAGCCCAGCGGTTGCCAAGGCGTTTGTGGGCTTCATAGATGATTCGATCCTCTTCCTGAGTCCATGAAGACTTCTTAACTTCTGGGTTGAGGTGGTTGTGCCAGCGTTCACGGCACTGCTTTCCGATTCTTCCCTGGAGGTGCTTCGCAATCACTGACCAGCGCTTGGGACCATATTTATGTACGAGGTCAATAACCTGCATAAACACCACCACGTGGAGGATATTCAGTAGAAGCACGAGTAAATAAATTCATGGATTTATGAATGAATGGGGTAGGGCCCTAATTAATTCTGCCACTCTATAAACTTGTTCAAAGAGTTCAGATTTCTAAGAGAAGCAGTGCTGTTTAGAAACCTTCACTATAGCAACAGCAGAGCTTGTTTGGCTCTTTCCATGGAGGCTGAGAAATGTTGTGATGTCACTTTTGGCAGGCTAAGCTATAATTGTAAGATCTGTGTTTTTGTTATGATTCCAACATTTCGGAGGAATGACACACCATTCATGACATTCTTGAACAACAGTGATCCATTTAAGGAATGCATCGCTGGTCTAACAGCAGGAAAAGGTCTTCAAGCTTTGCTTTGTAGGAAAAAAAAACTAATTAAAAAAGCGGCTGGCTGCTAAACCTCTTACTTGAAGAGACTGTTTTATTACGAATGACGTAGTGGAGAATTTACTTTAGAAAAAAATGAAAAAAACCCTTCTTGGCGGGAAGTAAGCATGCACATGTGCACAGCCTGGTTATTCTGAAGCTAAAGGGTACATTACATATTGTGGCACTTGTCTTTGTATTGTGTGTTTTCAACCTGTCTAAACTGCTCTCTCCCCTCTCTGCCATATCATTTACCCATTTTGTCACCAATGTTTCTGCACAAAATAGGGATTCAGAGCTCGTCTTACCTTTTGATCCTCCTCCTTTGTCCATGGTCCTTTCACTAGCTCTGGATTGAGCACCTTCTGCCACCGGTGCTGACACTGGCCATCTGTCCTCCCCTGTGATAGAGATACACAAAGAGCAACACCTCATTACAGTAGTAACTGAAAGAGATAAACCAATATGGTGTAAAGTAGTAACATTTTTGTTTAATGAAATTACACAATTGAAATGTGCTTACTGGAAAAAGGGTAGCTATTAATTTCCAGGAGTCTGTTCCGTGCTGCTCAACAAGCTTTTTCAGCTTTTCATCCTGAAGAAAAAGAGAGATGGAAAAAAAGCAAATGGTACAGAGCGCATGTAAGGCGTCTTGTTCAGCATTTTCACATAAACACTGTTATACAGTTACCCTTAAAGATGTTTGCGAGGAGATAAAAGCAGAACATAACATGCAATGCCTCAAGTTAAATCTTTCCAACAAATTCCCAGCTCAGATGTCAGATCTCTGATAAACTTACCTCATCTCGTGACCACTTTACTTTGCACAGTGTCTTTTTATCTTTGCTCTTCTCTTTACTCTCTGGATCTGTGGACTGCAGCTCTTCATCCTCATCATTGCTAAAATATACAAGGCAGTAAAAGAAGAGCACATTTAGACCACAAATGGAGCCCAAGACTGAGGTATGAGGTCAGTGCCTGTAAGCTAATATATTAGACATCAATACATGGACACCAAAGCTGTAAAAAGAAATTACTTGAGAATGGTGTAAGAAGCTTAACTATTACTACAGGATGAAGGCTCAGTGTAATTAAACGGTCTTGTGACCAAGTAGATTTGCCTACTCTTTGCTTTAACTTCATCTGAAAGAAATAAAATCCCTGTTAAAAGAATTAGACTTTAGCAGTGAGTTATGCCAAGCTTTTTAGGGGCAGGATTGAGGAAAAGCAGCAGCATGTACCAAAAGCTGACCACAACTCTTTTGATGTCACAGCAAAATAAATAAACAAATACATTAATAAAAGACAAATAAAAGCAAAACTAAAAGCATCAGTGGCCAATAAACAAGCCTTTGACACATCATATCAAAACTGAAAGCAATGTGTTCTTCATGTATTGCACAACACTGACTCTGGACATTTTAGCTAACCAAACAATGAGTTCGTTGATGCGGGGATCTCAGTGTGACTGCATTAGGTCACAGGTCTTGAAGATGCAAAGACAGAAATAACATGTCAATTATAATTATGCACAATAAAGAACACAAAATAGAACTACTGATAATACAAAATGTCAGCACACTCCATTTCAAATTTTTTGCATGCAAAAACCTGCTGCTGGGCACTAAAGTCTTTGCAGTATGGGAGCAGACTTTAATAAATGGAAAAGAAATTAAATTCCTGAACAGCCAGGCTTGTTGCCCTGTAGGAGACCTCTACAACCACACATGCACACACAGGGGGTTGGGGAGTGCTCTCTTGAGGTCTTGTATGAAAATGTGGATGAAAGGTCTTCCTTAGAGTGGAAACTTTAGTATACCAATTGAATTTTGGTATGGCCTGATTCCCTCACAAGAGGCAAGAGAAGTTTGCTGAAAAGGAAGGAGGGGCCTAAGGTGACTGGAGGAAAGGAGGGGTCTGCATCAAGAGGCTCTTTCACTACCAGAGCTTTATAAGTGTGTGTGTGTGTGTCTTGATGAGGTGGAAGAGGTGTACTGGGGTGTGGTTAGGGGACTGGCAAAGCCCTAACGGTCCAGTTCAAAAAAGTTGAAAAAAAAAGGGGGTATACTTGCATAACCTCCTGGCATTTACTCATTTATTCACTTTGAAACTGAAGAATATAAAACTATAATTCTAGGTGGCAAGTATAAGAAGCACCATATTTATATTCAGTGTTTAATCCATTAGGAATACATCACCTGTCATAAGCAATGAATATGAAATAATAACTCTGAGTTGTTCTAATTGGATAGAAGACTTTCTCTAAAATAAAATGTAACAAGCGTCACCAAATAGTATACTGATCTACATCCAGTGTTCAAACAATCATGTTGCTGTTGAAGTTTATCCATATCTTAGAACATAATGAAAAATGCCCTTTATAGAGGCTAACAGACCAAGGTTACAATTTTAAGGTTTCCTATTTTCCAAAGTCTAAAGGTAGCAGTCCAAATTATGCACAGGGCAGTACTATACTGTTCAAATATTCATACTTACTGGGATGGACTGAGAAAATGTGTAGTACTTTTAGCTTAAGCGATGACTATAATGTCTGATTAACAAAACTGATTGATATGAATAATTTTTAAACTAATTAACCCACATTTTTCACATGGTATACTTATACGGTCTAGAAGCTTTTTCTTCCATTGCCAGAAACCCAAGAGACTTAATGCAAAAATCTGTGATGTATAATTAGAGGACACATGCTATCTGATGTGGAGTTTTTTAGTCGGTGGTTGTTTTTATTTTAAATATTCAGAAAAAGTGAATCTGAGCAGTAAAGATGCATTAATCTGGCTGATTTGTCATTGTCTAGTAATGCGTTTTCAAGGATGATGCTGTTACATAACAGCTGTGTGAAACTGGCTTCACATTCACAGAACATTATTTTGAATGCGAAACTTTCAGAAGCATTGCCACCCATTCAAATTAATGCACGTTTCAGGTTGTTTAAGCTATATCTGAAACGTGGATTTTACACTGTCTATACTTTTCATCGGGGTATGTTATTAACTATAGGTGTTATTCATTAACTACTTATTCATAAATCCCATAGGCAGACCTTATTACAGTGCAAGTGTGCAGGTGCACTTGCAGTATAAGCTGTTTATATGAGGCACGTCGTATTAACTGTACACAGGTGCATTGTGTCACGGGAACTGAATAATGAAACACTGCTGGCACCCACCTGCGTGATTTCACGTTGTCCATGACAGCTGGTAGGAGGACTGAAATTCTTCGTAGATGAACCTGTGCTTGGCAGCTCCCTAAAATCCCTCTTTAATAGATGTGTATCCATAGAAAGCGTTGACAGTCATTGCAGGTTTCTTCGGGATCTGGCTAGCAGCGAGCTAACTAAAAGCACAGTTTATAACATATACTTTCTCCGTACAAGTCATATTCACATCTTCCCAGAGAAAGGCGTTGCTATGTCCTCTTCAGATAAAGGCTGTCTTCAAATGCGGACTCGTAACATAAAAACTCGCTATGAAACTGAAGGTGGGCTACTTTTATTACTCGCCGTCCGGGCTGTTTCTAACATAATCTTTCTCTTCTGTACTTCTGTTTGGCGTTATGATTTTTGTCCATCCCGCCGATTCTCGCGCCCAGCCCTCTGCACAGGCGGCCTCGCCCCCGATTGGTCAGAAACGGGGCCGTGACGAGAGGAGTCGGTTCTCGAAACTGATAGGTCAAAAACGAGGACACGCTCGCAAGTGATTGGTTAAGAATTTGCAAGCAGTTCTTTCATTGGTTGAGAATCTCAGGAGGCGAATGTTATAGCAGACAACAGTGTTGTCACCTCTTTCAGCAAAATGGGTCTTTTCATTATGACTGTAGTGGCTCAAAGTGGGTTTCGGGACTTTCTGGGGGCCCTTTGGGGACTTTCAGAGGGTTCTGAGGCACACAGCGCGAAAAATCGCACAATGAAAGCGCAAAAGGCTGCATCATCTGCGCCTTTGTGCCATCGTATACCTTCAGGTGATTGCATTTGCGCTGATGTGATGCATTACTATGGTATATTTATTATTATAATTTGCATCTTATATAAGGAGAGCAGCAAAACAGTACCATAAAAATTGGCTTTCCACGAGCAGCTCTAAAAACGGTGTTTTGCTGGCATCTTGTGGACAAAACTTAGGATATCGACATACTGCTTGCAGATTTCACTCATATAAAATATAATTAACCTCTTCATATGGGGTTTATTTCAGTGATATGACAATAGTGACATTTCTGTGTTTGTGCAATATGAAAATATTACAACATTTACTGTCACTACCCGTCCGCAGTCCCATACATACTGTTTTTATTATTCACTAAGTATGACATTTTTATGTAATGTTTTTTTTTTACTTAAGTACAGTGTAAAATTTTTTTTAGAAAGAGAATGTGGTCAAATGAAATTTGCTTGGTACCAGGCACATTTTTCTTAAGGGATCGAGCGCCTGAAACACGGACAGTTTGTTGATATTGTAAAAAAAATAAATAAATACAGCCACAGGGGGGCGTTTTAAAAACGCAC